CACTGGGATGAATGAGGAGGACACTGGGATGAATGAGGAGGACACTGGGATGAGGAGGGCACTGGGATGAGGAGGGCACTGGGATGAGGAGGACACTGGGATGAGGAGGACACTGGGATGAGGAGGACACTGGGATGAATGAGGAGGGCACTGGGATGAGGAGGGCACTGGGATGAGGAGGACACTGGGATGAGGAGGACACTGGGATGAGGAGGACACTGGGATGAGGGCACTGGGATGAATGAGGAGGGCACTGGGATGAATGAGGACACTGTGTTCGCTCGGATGCAGCAGTGCCTCATGTTGGTTCTTTCCTCTTGCTGGTACCTCTCTGTGAGGTCAGTGTTGGAGGACAGGCTAAAGCCTAGCCTAGTTCTCCATGCTAGGCATGAGACAGAGAAACAGCCATCAAGCAAAAATGATAGTTTTAACACCCTGTTCTCAGTTATGTTTTTAATGTTATTTTGTACTTTCTTCCTCTGATGCTTATGTTTTAGTGTGTGGAGAAATTATGAACTTTTCTACTAATATGTTAAAATTTGTGTGCGGGGGTGGGAACTGATTCTCTAAAAAATCTTTTTTTTTAATGAAAAAAAATTTTTAAGATTTATTTATTTATTATATACACAGCATCCTGCCTTCATGCCAGAAGAGGACACCAGATCGCACTATAGATGGTTGTGAGCCATCTTGTGGTTGCTGGGAATTGAACTTAGGACCTTTGGAAGAACAGCCAGTGCTCTTAACCTCTGAGCCAGATCTCCAGGCCCTCTAAAATCTTAAACTTGGTAAAGCCACATCTGTTTAAAGTCATTGAATTTATTAAAACTGCATTTATTATAAAACAGATTCTAACTTTCTTTTTTTCCATTTAGAAATAGATTATACTCTTACACAAATTGCAGCTTATTGCCATAATAGAATTCTAAAGAAATAATCTAAATATTGCTATAGAAAATTTATATTTTTATGAATATGTTTTCTGGACTTTAGTGAAAATGAGAGAAATTGTAGCACTATAGCTTATAACTGTTTTTTTAAGTGATGATTAAAAAACACCTTTTTTGGTTTGTTTGTTTGTTTGATAATATAAGTGGTGCTAGCAGGTGTCAGGAAAATCCATCCTCCAAAGTCAGAATTTCTAGGCTATGGGTACTCTGAATATGGCCAAGTCACTCAGTCTCCAAGAACCTCGATCCCTTCAGCTGTGAGTTGGAGAAAAATATTTACACAACAGATTATCATAGAAACTCAACATGATAATACAATTTAGTATGTGTTACAGAAAAATCATGTAACAAAACAATATTACTCTTTATAGCATCACAGGCCCAGATAGGAAAAATGCTAAAAGAACCTAAAGTATCTGCAATGCCACTAACATCTATCTGTCATGTAGCTTACATAACGTCCTCCATAAGTAGTTTGTGCCAGTGGTTTAATATTGTAGCAAAAATATCACCTAAAAAGGGCAATAGCAAAATATACTATAAGATTATGTGAAAACATGTAAGATTGTCACTTCTATAGCTCAAAAGAGTCGAATATCGGTAAATTTTATATGAATTGACACAATACATACAGTACAAAAAGTTTCTATTTCTGAGACAATTCTATATGATAGATGGTTGACATAGGTTGATAGCCTAGAATGTAGACTTAGATATATTTGCATTGAAAAGCATTATGGAAATGTATTTCTAGAGGCTGGGGATATTTCGTAGTAGTAAAATGCTTGCTTAGAGTACAGGAAGCCTTAGGTTAAGTTCCCAATAGTCCTACACAAAGCAATCCCAAAGAATAGATCAGTTTTAAGAGCCTGGAGCCAGAATCAATCTATTCTCAGCTCTGTCTCTGTCTGTCTGTCTGTCTCTCTCTCTCTCTCTGAGTGTATATGTGTGGTGCGTGTAGTGTGTGTGAATGTGTGTGTATGCGTGCGTGTGTGGTTTCTCTTTCTTTCTGACATAGTGTAGAAAGACGTCCCAGGCAAGCCTGGATGACTGGCCTCTTGCACAATTTTCCACCTTTACTTTTAAGGCAGTTCACCATTTGAACTGCCTTAAATTTGAACGTTGCTCACTGACACTATCTCAGTCCACCAAATAGTTTAACTCCCTCTATTCAGCGTTTACTTCAATGTCGTCTTCTCTCTCAGGTACACCAGCTAAGTTGTGCCAAAAACTAGGGTGACATGTGCAGAAGGTGAAGTTTAGGAACAAGGTTCTGACAGCCCCTGAGAAACACACAGTTATCTTGTTTTGTTTTGTCTGCTATTTTTGTAAAATAAAAGGCATAAAGAAATATTTAAGGTAACTAACTTGTTTATAGTTAATGATGTTTAGTTTTTAATATATAACAGAGCAGTATAAATAATGTTTGAAGAAAACTGGTTTTGGGGGTGGATTTTCTGATTTCTACTGAATGTAATCACCATTAAAATGGGATTTTATCTTATTCCCTGCAGAATTTCCAACATGAGTATTTTCTGAAAAATGAGAAATGTTCACGAAGGATCTGTCCCGTGACTTGGTGATTATTAAAGGAAGACTCTGCACGCTGGCATCTGGGAACACAGTGGTTAAACAGATGATTATTGTTCCGCCCTGATGAATCTTTTCCTTATCCACAAGTAGAAGCAATGAGGAAAACAATCCACAAGTCACTCAGACAAAGCAGGGCTTAGTAATATGGACATGACAGGAGCTTGAAGATAATGTGACCATTGTCATTTTGGTGCCTGTAATGAGCAGGGAAGGGAAAACTGGACAATCCAGTCAGATCATTATTGTTAAATAGACAAGTTCCAGAAATGAAAAAGGGAGGTGATTCTATAGCCGATATTTGAAAAGAAGAGAGAGATGAAGTCCTCTGAAGTTGTAAGATGTTCTCAAAACAAAATTCTAACCCTTTCCCTTTCTTATTGTGGAGCCTGCTGGGCTGGATTTCTTATTATAGACATTTGCAATTGGATGATTCTTCTGTGTGGGGCCGGTGGGGTAGCAGGCATTCTCTGTGCTATAGCTTTCCTGGCCTCCACACATTGCCATTGTTACCCTACCTCAGGCTGTGACAACAGAAAACCATCTCAGGCCTGCACAGTCTAAGAAGAACCCAACAGAAAAGAGAGTGAGGAGATTCCAAGAAAACAAGGAAAAGAATAAAAGAGCAATTCAGAATCGTATCATCACTTTAGATAAGAGTTGAAATTTCAGCTTAACAATTTAGGAAAGGAAAGTAGTGGCCATACTGGCTCGTGAGAATGAGAGAAGGGAAGGGATGGATCTTAAACCACAGGGCAATCTGATTTATTACAAGTTGCATGCATTTTCTTTATTTAGGTAAACAATCTTCTGCTATAAAGAACATTTTAGGGAGGCAGAGAGTAAGAAAACACTTTCTTACTCTGAGTTTCTAAAGCTAGGTAAATTTTATATTAGGAGATGTAGGGAATTAGGAATTAAAGGCATGGGAATGTCTTTATAAAGACATTTGAAGCACTGCTTGAGAGTTGTCTCATAAAGCAGATAATCTGATTTTCAAAGAGCATTTTAATGAAGAAGTGGTGTCGTAAAAATGATGAGCTGCTTAGTAAGGAAATTGAAAAATGCAGAATGCCTGTAATGGAATCCACCAAAATCTATCAATCAGTATGAATGACTCACTACTATTTAAGCAATGACAAACCAAAATACCGCACACAGAGGATAAGCCTTTTTTAGCAATATTACTTAATCCCTGTATAATTATATTGAAAATGCTACAATTATTCTGCTCTTCTCAGACACAGCAGTATGCTACATATGGACAATTTTCTGCTCAGATACGGTATCCACTTGACTTTTGTTCTATTCCACCCATTGCACAGATTCATTTATCACCTTGCTCTACGAATTACAAAAATAGTGGGTAAGCAAAAGCTCACCAGCGCAGCTATTTTAAGTACTACCACAACGATATAGTCACAGGATGGTTTCAGGGCAAAGAACACTTTTTAAAAGGTGAAGACGGAGTTGTAAACCAAAATGGAATTGTTTAATTGTGTCCTCCCAGATTGGTAAATGTACAGTTCCGCCAATGCTATAGCAGAGTCAGTCAGCCAAGCGCAGACAGCCATGGGCCTTGGATCAGCTTATGTGGACTGCTTCAGGTTTACTGCCACCTAAGTCAGAGACAGAGTGGGACAAGTTTCTTATAGCTAGTGGTACTGTGACAGCTTTGCTTAACTAAAAAATGTTTAGGAGTTCAAGAAAGGAGAGCTAAATTAACAGGCCTGATGTGGTGTCACAGGTCTTTAATTCTAGCCCGTGGGAGGTAGACATAGGCAGATCTCTGTGAGTTCGAGGCCAACCTAGTCTACAAATCGAGTCCAGGAGAGCCAAGGCTCTGTTACACAGAGAAACCTTTCCTAGAAAAACCAATAAACAGACAAAAACCAACAAAAAAAACCTCCGTAAATTAACAGGTAGTCATTTCATCAACATTATTTCATGCTGTAATTTCCTTATGAAAATCCTGGTTCATTTGTGGAAAATTTAGATAACACTGTCAGGTAAAGGTAAGCTAAAGTAATTTCTCACTAGCATTAACAAAGACACATGCTTACATTACACATGTCATAGTTATACTTAGAATGTCTTTAAACCCTGAACAAATGGAAGCTTACCTAATTCTTTATCCCTTTGGTGATCTTCCTTTTAAAAGAAATACGCTCCTAAGAAAGTCTAGCCATATGAAAGAGAGAAGAAAATATGACATAGAAAACAACAGTAAGAGCATTTAACTAGGTTCCTCTTCAGTGTCTGTTCTCAAAGCACAGCCTGTGTGAACTGTGACTCCTAACTGCAAATTCCTGGGAGTACGGAGTCCAGCGTGAATTTGACCTAAGCCGGACCGTCACCCACAGTGAGTGCTTAGAGCCTAGGAGGTACTAACGTAGAATGTTTTCTTGCTTCCTAAGGATAAAGGTGGGACTTGGAGTTTCTTTGTAATTAGTAAGCACCTACTAATGGAATCTGACTTTAGCTTAATTGTGAACCAAAACCATCAAGAAAATGTCAAAATGCTTGTCACCCTGGCAGTAAGGCCACCAAGGCAGCATGATAGAGACCCTGAAGCCAGTCTGGCCTACAGTATCTTCTCAAAATGATAACAACCAACCAGCAAGCGAAAAGCACACAGAGAGCTGGCCAATGTTGCTCACTATAGAATGCTTGCCTGCTTGCCTAGCCCTCATACCAGAATAAAGAAAAAATAAATAGCAAACAGAGAGAGAAAGTGGAAAAATCTATAGATGGTTGTGTGTATGTGTGTGAGAGAGAGAGGGAGAGAGATACACATTATGTAACCAGTTATATTTAGGTATACTATCAACTTGTCTTTTTGAAGTTCATAAAATATAAAGTTCATTTTAAAGTTAGGACTAGTCAAATAAGATTTGAAATCTTCACTACAGATAGAAATGATGATACTTTCTTCCATAGCAATAATATTAACGTTTCAATACTATTCACACCCACAACCTCTTGTTTTGCATGTATTTTCTGCTCTGAAACCCAGCAGAACCAGGCTTTAGAAAGAGTCCTAGATGATATTATCTCAACTCTTTAACATCAGAACCTTTAAGTAGATAAAAAAAAAAAAATCAATTTAGCATTGTTTTACAATCATTTCCCGTTAGTAAGCTTATCATTTTAGAACTTTTTGTTTGCAGGACATGAAAGCAGTTAAGTAGCTTAAGAAAAGTTAAAGGAAGAAGGAAAGTTGTTCTTTAAACCATACCTTACCTGGAGAATTGAAATAGAGCAACACCCTAAGCCTCCCGATCTGTGCTACTCTCCTCAAGGACAAGTGAATCGCAGCAGCCCATATTCTCAAACTCAAAGAGAAAAATCAGGAAGCTGGATCTGTGCACATAATGGCCTGCATAATGTAAGAAAGCACCGTTTCTTGGCAACTAGAAAACAATCCTTTTCAATTAACTCACAGCAATTGGCCCACATTTGTTGTTACACAGAGTGAGGAAAATGTTTTAAGAACTGAAAAGAGCCTGGTAATAGCTCAAGTCCAAGCAGTCTGTTCACTTGGAAAGAGTTTTTTTTAATTAGAAGACTCCCCCATTCCAGCTGCTTCTTTCCTAAGATCATGTATGGACATATCCATCTCACTTTCTTGATACTTACTCTTTAGTCAAGGCCCCAATCCCAAATGTTGTGTGTTATCTAAACACTGAAAAGACAATGAGGAGATCTAACAGAGGTTTGTGGTGTTATCCTGGCCTTGATTATTTTCATTTTGCTTTCTAAAATCCCAGTGTGAATGTCATCCTGACGTTCAGTAGGATATACTGGCCAAACTATCATATATTATATTCTCTGAGCTGTTGAAGATGGCTTAGCTCCAGCAGACACCAATCCAGCTGATGGTCATTAAGGACAGCCATGTAAGATCATCCTTACACTAATCTGACAATTTTGAGAATTCACAGATAGCTGTGAGAATCTTATGGGTGTGCGTGTTCTTAAGATGCCTTATCATCTCATATGTGTATCAGTAAGTGTCCGCGTGGAGGACTTCAGCTTAAGAAATGCATGGGAAAGATATAAACTAGTCATAGTTGGTTTTCTTTCTTCTTAATTACTAAAGCTGTCCTAGTTACCTATATAAAGATTTAATTATCTAGTTAAATTATATCTTAAAAATTAGCAGACACTATGGATAATTTGTATATCCAAGCAAAGTCAAATCGAGTGATTTTTATTTTCTCTATTGCCCACCCCCTGCCAGGACTGAGTAAAAGTGTGCTTTTACCTTCATCAGCTCTTTTCAGTATTTTCCCTTATAATGTGAACTTCTCTCAGAGTGGTCAGCCTTGGTTGCCATCCTTGCCAGGCAGTTCTAGTGAGCCCTTTAATGTGTAGACTCAGGCAGTGCCTTGGCACAAAGCTCTCTCTCTTCGGTGGGAACTTGAGGCGGTGCTGTAAGCGGGTGAAGGTGATGTGTTTGAGTAGACCGGCTGGCACCTTCCCCTGAGACTCTCAGCAGCTGTGTACACTCCCCATGGTAGAGCTGGCTGGGAGAATTTTACGAGTGTTTCTTCAGTCTTGATAGGGACTCTTCCCTGGCCATGACCTCAGGCAGATCTGTTCACCACGTTGTGTCCAGGTCTGTTATCTGCCATGTAAAGGTGATGATATTTACATCACACAAGTGTTGTGAGGGCTGACTGAGGCTACATGTGGAAAGCTTCTTAAAATACTGTCCAGCAGACGGTAAGTGTTCAAAGGCAAGGCACATAATTATTGTTGTTATTCATATCCCTGAACCCGGTGAATAACCACATACCTTTATCACAAGGGACACAGCTTTACTTCTTGTACTCTTAAAATGCATGGCCATTTGCTTCTGCTCTGAGTATATCCAGACAGTGGCCGCAGAGCCTAGCATTTGTGAGAGATTGCACACATTTTACATGGTCACTGGAAGCCCCGTTTCTGCAAATAGTGGTTGTAATTCTGTCATCCTCTCCATTTTAGAAGGTTTTTTTTGCATTTTTATGAATTATTATCATTTATTAAAATTTATTCACTATGTATCCCGGCTGTGTCCCCCTGCCTTGTTTCCTCCCAACCCGCCCTCCCTCTCATTTCTCCCCCAATGCCCCTCCCCTAGTCCATTGATAGGAGAGGTCCTCCTTCCCTAGAAGGAGGGGTTTAATCTTGGCTCAGAGCTGCTGGCCCAATCCACTATGAAGTTGTGTCAGTCAGAATTTCACACCCTGTCTCTGCTAGGAAATAATTCGGAATCATTAAAATCATGCTAAATGAGCCAATCTGGCCAAGGGGCGGGGGAGTGGGGTGGGTGTTTCAGCCCTGTGTTTATTGGCTTGGCACAGAGCAGTGGTCCTTTTCATTATCCTGGATAGTATTGATTTGCCCCAGTATCTTAATGTAGAACATTGTGGCAGGGGAAATGGGGAAATTAACCGGTGAGATGTGAAAAGGAAAAATTAAGCTAACGGGACATGTTCTGTGTAAAGATGCTGCCATTTCTAAGTGGTAACCTGACCCTACAGCATGTCGCCCGGCGTTTCCAGGACCGAGCCGTTGGGTGCTGCGTTGCTTGTGCCGTTGGGAAACTGTGTAGTCCGTGAAGTCTAACTGAACAGCAGGAAAAATAATAACATGATAAATAGGATATACTGCAACTTCAGGGCACCTTTACCTGCCATTCAATTAAAATTACGCAAAATGAGTTTGCGTGAAGATATTAACATGCAGACAACAACAAAATCAACACTATTACATAAAAGTATGATTTGCTACAGATAACCTTTCTATAATTCACAAGTGAGATCATTCAGATGCATGGCATATAAATTGATGAAGGCTTCAGTTTGACTCCTGTGGGCAGTTTAATGTTGAAAGAATTCACAAAATAAAATAGTTTATAAGCACTGACCACATTTGTTCTAAAACAGAATATTATAGAGTGTCAAAGCCAAATAATTTCAAGTTCTTTTGGAAGCAAATACAAATCTGAAGTTAAGAAAAAGCTTAGTTTCCATTAGGAGTATGCTATTTCTACAACATAAGATTACAGCTTTCAAAATGCAGGAGGAAAAAAGTGACCAGGGAAACTTTAAAAAGGAAAAAAAAAAAAGATAAATTTATTTTGTATACATTGCTCTGCCAGCATGTATGCCTACATGCCAGAAGAGGGCACCAGATCACATTATATATAGTTGTGAGCCACCATGTGGTTGCTGGGAATTGAACTTAGGACCCCTAAAAGAGCAGCTGGCATGCAGATGGCACGTGAAGATAGAGCACTCATATACATAAAATGAATAAATAAAGTCTGGAGAGGTGGCTTAGTGGTTAAGAGCACTGGCCACTCTTCCAGAGTTCCTGAGGTCAATTCCTAGCAACCACACAATGGCTTACAATCATCTATGCTGCGACCTAAACATTCAAATTCTTAAAGTCCAGTCCCAAAGACACTAACTGAATGTCCTTAGCACAACTAATGAATGTACATTTCAGTGCCCTCCCTCCCCCAGCACTGATGTCCTGGAGTACAGCCACATTTGAGAACTGGAAATTCAGAAAAATACAGGCAGCTAGGAGCCTTGGCTTGTCTCAGAGGGGATATTTACAGGATGGCAAGCAGGGGAAGCTGGCCAAAAGGATGAGAAAGTGTGCTTCAGCTTTCTTGAGTCAGAAACTAGAATGGAGAAGAGGAGAGATGAACGTCTTGATAGACAACAGACATAGATATAACTGCGATGGCTTCTGATTTTGTCCTAAAATAGCATTTAAAGTGTGGCATTAAAGCCCACGTCCTTGCATGAGACAAGCAGGCTGGCCTATGCTTACTATGCCCTGTTGCTTCCTGGCCTCTACTTGCTGACCTTGTTTGGCCTGTTGATTGTCTCTCAAGAACAATGACTTCTACTTCCTACAGTCTCCATAACTTTTAATAACTATCTTCTCAAAACCTTTGGGAAGTGACCCAAAAGTTTTAACTCCTGACCACTCCCACTGGTTATGTTTTCTTTATTCCTAATTGTCTTTATCATTTACTAACACCCCCTATACTGGCATTACCTACACTTTGGTTCTCCCTTCCCCCCACTACACCATGAGATTCAGATGGAGTGGTGCTGTTTTTCTTACTTCATGCTGTATCCCTTCCATCTAGAACGGTGCTTGGCTTTCTGTGGCTCTTGCTGCACAGAGTTAGAAATACAGAGCGTGACATGATGGCCACAGCTCCCTGGTAGCGAACTTGCCTAGGGTGTGTGAAGCCTGGGTTATATCCCAGCACCAACAGGAAAACAAGGACAACAGATGCGGTTAAATTCAGGCATAAAAAGGGGTCACGCAGCACTAGCAATAAAAGTACAAAGCTATTGGATTTTTAAACATTCCTGTTTGTCTTTCTAAGGAAAGGTCAAAGTAAAGTAACCCTGCCTAGCGCTCTAATGCTTACAGGTATATTGTTTTCTAGTCTTTACAAAGATAATCATGAGAAGTTATTGTTTAACCCCATTGAAAGCTAATAATTGTTTCACATATGCCTCAGGGAATAAAAACAGGAAGCATTTTATCCAGGTACATAGATTTTATAAGTAATATTTTAAGCAGAAATGTGCATGGTGTTAAAGGAATTGGTTTTAAGTACAGCAAAACTGAGACGAAATAAAAATCCGTTTTTGTGAAAGCTTTTAGAAGAACACGGAGATTTGTCACGTATATCCCACGTCTTCACAGACACTACTGAACTACATTGCTGTTGTTCCGTGATCAACACTGAAGGAGCCTTCAGTAATGGAAGTAATTGCTCTACTTAACGCTGGTGAGAGGATTGCTTTTCAGCAGGTTTGATAATCAGATAGCTTTTGTAGAAGTGCCTAACATAGAATTTAAAACAAAGGGGCCTCACCATTTCATTTGCAATAGAAGAAAGGTCTAGCTTGCCTCAGAGTCTGTCTTTCACTTTCAAGTCCCTCTGCTTGTGTGTCATTCTTAACTTTGTGCCACATTGAAATAAAAATAATTGTGTAAGTTGGTGCAATGACAGGAGCCTGATGCCTCCCCAGTTTCTGCCTTAGTAGGCGCAAGCTTTGTGCACATGACAGACTTTGCCATGGGATGCAGGGAGAGTTATTACTCGGGCAGCAAGTGCTTGCTGTGTGATCTGAGGGCCTGGCTTTGATCGACAAGAACCCATGTAAGAAAGCCAGACATGATAGCACACTCACAAACGCAGCTTGGGGGAATGCAGACAGATTCCAGAGCACATTAACCAGCCAGCCTGGCCTACAGGGGTGAGCTTCAGGCCAGTGAAAGGCCCAATCTCAAAACACAGGGTAACTAGAGCCCAAGGAAGAACAACACTCATGGGTGTCTTCTGGTGTGCGCACACACACACACACCCGCCACAGTGCACAGATTGAAATGGGACCAGAGTGGAAAGCACGTCTGACTTTCTGCTATGTTTGCATGTTCTGTATGCCAGCAACAAAACATTCTCAAAATGGCAAATATCTGCATGTGCCTCCTATCCTTGCACTCCTGCTTCATTCTGCTTTCAGTCTTTAAAGTCAAGGTCTGTCATCAACAAATAACCACCACATCGGTACTTCAGTTCCAGGAATATTCCCTATATGCTCACAATCTCCCCCTTTCTCCCTCACATAGTACACACAATCTTGAAAAGGTGTTCACTCTCACCTAACTTTTAAACTGGGAATCCACTCTATAAGAGAAGTGGTAGGTGAGCTCCACGAGTTACCTTTCTACCCCTTGAAACAACCGTATGTGGTCAGTATTCTTATTCCTTGTTACAAGGATGGGAAATGTGCCATAGGAAGTTAAATCCCCAAAGGTCAGAGATTCACAGAGAGATTTAAACTAAGTCTGGAACCCACCTTTTCAACCACCTTTCCTCAGTTCCTGACTTGTCCAGCAAACAATTCTTTTTGAACTCATGCTGCTTTTTTTTGTGTTGAATAGTTACGTAAACTAAGACACTTGATAAAGCCACTGCTTATGACTCTTTGAATGAATTTCAGTAGTCCAAGTAATGTAGGGGGTGTTTAAACAGCAGCAAGTGCTTAAGGAGAGAAAAAGCAAACATTTTCATGCATGGCCTTTTGTAATGATGTTCAATTTAGACCTAATCCTTTTAGCCCAGAGATGGAAGAGTGGCATTCTAAACAAATCTCATTGTGTTGTGTTTGCTTCCATAACAAGGAATTTAAAGGATGAAGTTCTTGCTGGCAGATGGACTTCTTGGCTTCACTATGCATGCAACACAGAGAATTTTTTGTTTCAGAAGTTCAAACATGAAGCCAGATGCTTCTCATCAGACATTTCCACTAAGAAATAAGGTAAGTGGTTGGGCAGGAGCATTAAGAAAC